GATTCTTAATTACTCTAGCGGCTGATAGTCCTCCTTCTATGCATTCCTCTCTTGACTCTGACATTAGTTGAGACTCTTTTTGCTGCAAGTGACAGATATGCAGCAAGAAGAGAATTCATTAGCTCACAGAGCCATGTAACTCTCGCCCAAGGGGAGAGTGGGAACCAGGGCCTCAGGACCTGACCGCTCTTTCTGTTCTTCTCTTTGAAACTCCCATCTCTGCATGGCTTCATTCTCTTCCACTACAGAGTGCTCTGCTCTCTGTGCTTGGGTAGATGGCTGCCTGCAACCCCAGGCCTCTCATAACTCTCCAGGCAAGAGCACAAGAGAGAATTACCCCTCCAGTTCCAACTGGGAAAACTGGTGAAGGCTAAGAGCCCATACCTAGTTTCAGTCCCTGTGTGCACAGGGATATGGCATTGTGATAGGCCAGCGAGGGCCATGTGTTGAATTCTGAGTAGGGTGGGGAACCTGTGATGCTGTAACTGCTCTACCAGGACCACATGAAGTAGGGAAGTGGGTGCTCTTACCCCTTTATGAGAAGAGAACAGACAGAAACATTTCTTCAGTCCACTGTGTGCCACCCGCATGGCTCAAGCAGTTCCTTCCCCATCCCCTGAAGGATCACCAAGGCAAGGCCATCGTGTGCTAAAACTTTCCTGAAGTTTGAGGATTTAATCAATCATGCCTACATAATGAAGCCTCCATAAAAGCCCCAAAGTACAGGATTCACAGGGCTTCCAGGAGGTGCTAGGGAGTGTGGTGTGCTCAGCATGGGCATGGAAGCTGAGCACCCCTATGTCCGTATCTTCCATCTAGCTGTTCCTGAGCTATATCCTTTATTACAGACTGGTCATCCAGTGAGGAAACTGTTCTCCTGAATTCTGTGAACTGTTCTAGCCAATCAGTCACACCCAAGGAGGGGGTCCTGGGAACTTCTTATATAAAACATTCAAAAACATGCCTCCTCTCAATATATTCTCCTGTAACATAAACATTTATAAGAGGTTACCTCTAGGTAGTGGGATCATGGGTAATTCTTATGGATTTTGTTGGTTTTATTGTTTCTCTCTTTTGCTTATCTCTTTTTACAATTACCAGATGAAAATGGTTCAAGGCAAGCAAGGAAAAACAGACTGAGCCTGCTGCCCTCTCCTCCCCCTTTACCAGGAAATGCAAAACCTCTCCCCAAAGCCTCCCATCTCCTCCTCCTCCCCCCACCCCAGGTCTTCAGTCTCAGCAGGAAGACTGTGTCACATGACTGCCACAGCTTCCAGTGAGGATGGAAAAAGGAGCATTTTGGCTTTTTAACCTCTACAGCCTTGCTGGGAGAAAGGTGGCAACAGAGAAAGGGGCTGGGGATAATCATCAGTCTAAGCAGCCAGTACCATCTGCAATGGCAGAACTGGGCATCAAGGGTAGAAAGAGGGATTTTTCTCAGTCCGGGGTGGGTGTTACCACTTTGGTGTGTGGCCCTGGGTGTCCAGAAGAGACTTCTGACAATAAAATGTAGAGCTCTGGGTTCTCTTTAAGACTTCTTTCAGGCGTCAAGATGATCCTTTTCCATTCTCATTAATACCTTGTAGTAAGAGTAATTATTATTACTATTTACAGAGAGCTTTTTTTGAAGTAGTGTATTGCCATCCTCATATTACTCGGGAAGGTTAGTACTGTTAACAAATCCACACTTAAAAGGGCACCGAGTCTTTCCTTGCCTCTGCTGAGCCCCCAGAGGCTGTGGAGCATTTAAGATTGGCCTCCCCTTCCCCACCACCAGGGGCAAAGAAGACCCTGCCACTGGTGGTGTAGGGTGTAGGAGAGGTTAAGACTGCTGTATCAGGAGTGCTGAAGACCGGCCTCATCCATGAAGGCCTCCACAGGGAATTGCCAACCTGTAGGAGCCTCAGACAAGCACCAAACCCATCTTTGTGTAGCTGCCTCCGTCCCTGATGAGGCTACATATGTCGAGTTGGTGGAGGCACTCTGTGCCGAATGGCAAATCCACATAATTAAGGTGGATGACAACACCAAACTAGGGGAATGGGTAGGCTTCTGTAAAAGTGTTAGGGAAAACAGGAAAGTGGTTGGTTGCAGTTGTGCGGTAGTTAAGGACAACAGCAAAGACTCTCAAGCCAAGGATGCCATTAAGGAGTACTTCAAATGCAAGAAATGAATACATAAAAAACTTGGCACTTGCTTAAACACACTAGTTAATTAATTAAAAGGACACAGAATCTCATTTTCTCCCAGCATGTGCTACTCAAGGACTCTTGACTCCTGGGCCTGATGAACACAGGAAGTGATCCTTCTGTCCCAGATGGTGCTTCTTGGTACCAAGGCACACTCTCTGCCCAACTGGTTAACTCTTCTTGTTCTGGATGGATTGTTCTTGAAAAGTGTCTCTGGGGTCTAGAAAGACTTCTGACATGGGTCTTAGACCTGGTTTAGCATCTCTCTCAGGGCCTGATATGGGTAAATCACTGTGCTCTCCATCTGCTTTGCCCCCAGTCATTTTTTTTTCCTGTTAGCCAGTATCTATAAAAGCTTTGGGAGGTAAAGAATATTCTCTCTATACAGGTATTTTCTTAATCTTTTTTTTTTTTATGATAGGCACACAGTGAGAGAGAGAGAGGCAGAGACATAGGCAGAGGGAGAAGCAGGCTCCATGCACTGGGAGCCTGATGTGGGATTCGATCCCGGGTCTCCAGGATCACGCCCTGGGCCAAAGGCAGGCACCAAACCGCTGCGCCACCCAGGGATCCCTCGATACAGGTATTTATTACGTGCACACATTCCTACCTCATTTCCACCTTTTCCCTTCCTTCTTTCCAGAAAGTGATGTCAGCATCCAGCCCTGGGTGCTGAGAGATGCTCAGGGCATCACTAATTAGGTTGTAGGGAGCATGCCAGATGAGGTTATTCTTTCAGACCCTGGATCACTGTGTGTTGTTTACAGAAGAAATATTTTAAGGTATAGGGAGAGGAAGCTTGCCAAGGATGTGTACTAGGATCTTGTAAACATTTGTATTCTGAATAACTGTTAGTGTGTCTTATTCTGGACCCATTATTTTAAAGCTCTAAAAAAAAAAAATTGTGCCTGCATTGTAGGTCAGAGTTCAGAAGTGTAGACCAGTGATGGGTCGCCGAGGTGGCTCAGTTAGTTAAGTACAGACTCTTGATCTCAGCTCCAGTCTTGATCTCAGGGTTGTGAGTTCAAGTCCCATGTTGGGCTCCACGTTGGGCTCCATGCTGGGTGTGGAGCCAATTTAAAAAAAGAAAGTGTAGACTAGTGTCTTTCCAGGCTGGGTTAGCAGACACTGCTAGTGGCCTTTCTAATATCCATCCTCCCCTTCTTTCTTTCTTTCTTTTTTTCTTTTTTTTTTTTTTAATTTTATTTATTTATTTGAGAGAGAGAATGTCAGAGAAAGAGCACAAGCCAGGTTGGGGTGGGGAAGGGACAGATGGAGAAGGAGAAGTAGATTCTCTACTGAGCTGGGAGCCCAACGTGGGCCTCAATCTCAGGACCCTGGGATCAAGACCTGGGCCAAAGGCAGATGCTTAATCAACTGAGCGCCCTATGTGCCCCTCTGCCCTTCTTACCAACAGAACCCTGATTTTGCTCAAGGCAACAATATGCCCAATTAAAAATGTTCACTTTCCTAGGCTCCCTTGTTGTTAGGAATAGTCATGGGATTCAATTCTGGCCAGTGAGATGTAGCTGAGAGTTGCTAGGTGGGGGGCCTCCAGGAAACCTTTTTTAAAGGTCAGGGACTTAGCTGGCATTTTCCCCCCCCCCCGCCCTTTTCTTTCATTTGAAACGCAGACTTAATGGCCAACCATCCACCTTGTATGCCATGAGCACAAAAGCTACATGTTAAAGACAGCAAAGTAGGAGACCACAGGTCCTTGACATTAGAGAGACACCTGCTGATGTCTCATTAAAAATAATCAAGCAATTAAACAAAAAGCCATTTTGGTTAATCCACTATGATAGAGTTATTGTTTCATACAATGAAACACTTAAAAAAAAAAAGATTTATTTTCTTGAGGGTGCGAGGGGCAGAGGGAGTGAACTTTCGAGCTGACCTCCCCACTGAGTGCAGAGCCTAACTCAGGGCTCCATCTGACAACCTGTGAGACTATGACCTGTGAGACTATGACCAAACCAAGAGTCGGACGCTTAACCAACTGAGCCACCCAGGGGCCCCAATCAAACACACATTTAATAAATAAGACATTAAGACCTTTAATATGCGGGCAGCCCTGGGGGCCCAGCGGTTTAGTGCCGCCTTTAGCCCGAGGCCTGATCCTGGAGACCCGGGATCGAGTCCCATGTTGGGCTCCCTGCACGGAGCCTGCTTCTCCCTCTGCTTGTGTCTTTGCCTCTCTTTCTCTCTGTGTGTCTCATGAATAAATAAATAAAATCTTTAAAAAAAAAGACCTTTAATATGCTATCATAGAAGATAGAGGCAAATTGCCTGTAGGGGCTGTGAGAGGACAGTGCTGCTTACGCTTCCATGTGCATATACATCACCTGGGGACCTTGTTAAAAATGCCGATTCTGATTCTGTAGGGCTGAATTGGAGTCTGAATTTCTGCATTCGCAGAAGCTTGCTGCTAATGCTGATAATATGAGTAATGAACTCCACTTTGAGCAGCAAAGACTTGAAAAACGATAGCAATTTTGTCAGTCTGCTCCTATGTTGGAGTTCTTCTGTTTTTCTCTGATACGTGTATTATTCGATTAAAAACCTACAGAGGAGGGAGATCCCTGGGTGGCTCAGTGGTTTAGCGCCTGCCTTTGGCCCAGGGTGCGATCCTGGAGTCCCGGGATCAAGTCCTGTGTTGGGCTCCTGGCATGGCGCCTGCTTATCCCTCTGCCTCTGCCCCACCCCCATGTCTATCATAAATGAATTAAAAAAAAAAAAAAACCCTGCACAGGCTATGTCTATGTCTATCATAAATAAATTAAAAAAAAAAAAAACCTGCAGAGGACTCTGTGCATTTTCAACAAAGAGGTTTTTATTTAGAGTATCATTTCAGAGACAAAAAGCAGTTCATTTTGTTTAGTAAAATAAATTTAACAAATACATTTAAGTAAGGTAAATTCAATACTCCTGTGGATTTTATTTTCCCCCTTGGTTACTTGATTTTCTGCCCATTGGAGTTTCTGTCTTCCAGCCTAACTGGGTTCTTTTCAAGTTAATGCAGCTATGATCCAAGGAACTGCTTTATGAAATCTGAATGACTCAAATATCCCTCTGTATTCTCAATCTCCATGTATTAAATGCAACATAAGGAAAACTTAGGGAATTAGAACCAGAAGGAAATGCTTCCCCCTCTTGGTCATGTCGTCTTTTCAACGGAGGCGTTGCCTACTCTGAAATGGATGGTAAAAATAAACTCGTACGGGGAGATGATGGTCAAAAGCATACTTAGATGATTTTCATGCCATCTATCATCAAGACCCGAAAGGAAATGCAAGCGCCGCCACTTTTCAGCCCAGCCATGGCTTTACACAGAAGCTACATACAGCTTCCTATAGTTATTTTCTTTCCTAGTTATATACATTTAAAAAATACAACATCGTGTTAAATAGCAGGACAGCTAACAACGAAACACATAGCACTATGCTGAAAAAACAAAAAGGATGGTTAAGCTGAGAGAAACGGTGCATGGTCTTCATGGAGGGAAGCTCCTGGCACCAGCCCACCATCTCCTCAGTCTGTCACGGATCTGCACTCTGAGGGGAGGCCTTCCGACTGCCGCCACTGAGCCAGACGCTGCTTAAACCATTTCTGGAGGAGGGAAATAGCAAAATTACCTGTCACATATTGGAAAACTGGAACATTCCCTCTTTTGCTATGGTCCAACCAGAAAGGAGGAGAGCAAGGAATGTGTCCCCCGGGATGGTTTTTCTCACTGTGACACTTACCTTCTCTGCTCCAGGACCTTTGCACATGCTATTTCCTATGCTTAGCATGTTCTGCCTTCATTCTTTATCTGATGATCTCCCTTTCATCCTCAGGTCTCAGCTTAAATAGAACATTCTCAATGAAGCCTTCCCTAACCACTTTGTCTAAAGTAGGTTCTCTACCCATCTCCTTATGCTCTATTTTAATACTTTATTACCTTCACAGAATGTTTGGTATCTGTAATTACTATGTTTAATCACTTGCTGTTAGTCTACATTTCCTTCTAGAATATAAGATCCATGAAAACGGAGACTGTATTCATCTTATCATCATCATTGATTGCATCCTTTGCCCTCACCCAGCACCAGAGCTTAACAGGGATTAATCAGTGTTTGTTTAATGAATGAAAGAAATTGAAGGATCTCCTTGATGCCCCTGATAAACCTCTATGGCTGCTATATCTCGCCAATGTGTGGTGACCTCATCAAGGGCCTTGGTCATCAGTGGTGCTTAGTAAGTATTTGTTAAGTAAAATGAGTGGAAACCAGCCCTGGACAACCTTAAGGTACTGCTTCTTAGGGATCCATGGAGTAGGCTAGCCCAAACTCTCCTGCTGCGGGGCTGCTAAATAATAAGAAAAGAAAGAGCTGTCCTTCCAGCTTACTCAGAACCTTCTAGCTCTGTGTGCTCCAAATCTTCACATCTCACAAAAGAGACCAGGGATTTAGGGAAGGCCCCGGATGGGATGCTTCTAGACATGGTACCGTGTGAGGGCTAAAACACTTTTATGTGTCATAGGTCTGCCTTTTACTATGCTACTGAGAGCTGGAGGATCCTGCAAACAAAAGACAAGGAGGAAACCCATGCTGGCTAATCAGCTGGGGTGTGAATTAGGTTGGCCAGGAGGAAGCTAGGATTTTTAAAAAACAATGTTAAAGGGGGACTAGTGAGGAAACAGAAGCAGCCTGCCCTGATCCTCGTGGGAGAGGATGAGTCAGAGGGCCCTGTGGGAAGTCACACCTCAGGCTTTTTTCTCCTGTGTTTCCCAGCCTTTCACTCATCATGGGAAACATTGGGCATGATGATATTTTTCACATCACACTGGGATAAACAGGCAAGTTGCTTGGGTAGGTGTCCACCGGGACTCTGTAGTCCTGGGCCCTGCCAATAGGAAGCTCTATGGTGATCAATTGGCTACGGGAACCCAAGGAAGCCCCTTAAAAATAGTGCCAGTCAGCTCAACTGTACATGAAGAGGTAAGCTTAGGGGTCTTTACTGTCCCTTCTGGGTTTTTATAATTCACCTATTCCAGAGGTAAGCACATGAGGGGACAGAAAAGAAGCAAATAGAACACAGCTATGAGATGGACACCAGACCTGGGATGTGCTGATGGAGATGGTGTGGTAAGATACATCCAGAGGGCTCTGACTTAGTATGGCCAGAGTAGACTCAACCTCAGGACAAAGAGGGTGGACTCTAGGGTCATGCTGGGGAAGATCTCATCTCTGCAGAGATCTTGGGAGCTGAAAGGTAGTTCAGCATTAGCCCATGATCAGAAGAAAGTGTGAGAACCACAGGAGAAGGAGTGCTTCTAGGGATCAAGACCTGTAGAGCCAGGAAGGAGTTGGGGCCACAGGGCCATTTAGGGCTCTGCACCAGTGCTAAGCTGGCTGAAGAGCATGGGACCATACTTATAACTTGCCCTGACTGTACAACAGAGTTTACACACTGAAATGCCTTACATGGCTGTCAAGATCAATTGTCCTGAATTGTGAGGTGGGAGCAGAGAAAAGTAGCCTAAAGCCAAGGGCAGGAGACTACCCATGTGGGGCAGTTGCTCTCCAGATGCCATATTCTACTCCTGGAGATCACTAGCTCATGTTAACTTTGGTGGCTTTCACCAAAGTTCTACCACTAAAGGTAGGTGCATTTTCTTCCATAACCCGCGTGTTTGGTTAATTCTGGAATCTGGTGTGAGAGCAGCATGGTTCCAGTTCCCCTAATGAGGTAGCTCTGTGGGGGGTTCTGAGGCTACAAGGTCTGATTCAATAGGATTTCCAGTTACTAGAGCTGAACAAAATGGCAAAGTTTTAAAGACTGACTAATTAAAACTTGGAGGAGGAAAGTCTCATTTTCTATCAGGATTCATTTAAGACAAAATGATTGAGCTGGCCTTATTCAGAAGAGCCACCCGTATCTTTATACTAGTAATGAATATTAATGTACAGTTACCAAAAATAACTTCAGCGAGGACTACATTCGTGAATTGGAGAGTTGGCATCCAAATGCCTACCAAAGTGAACCCTAGTACTGGGGGATGGGACAAGGTTCAAGAAAAGCTGAACGATTTTCCTAAAGATATATATTTTAGATCAGGTATGTATATAATAATTTGGCAAACCAGTCGCTGTCCAACAAAAACCATGAAACACCTTGCTTGCTTCTTTTCCCCTCCAGAGCTGAATCTTACATCTCGCTCACATCAATACTAATTTTCCACCTGGCTTTATTCTTCTCTTCCTTGTTTCCGTCATCCCCTGGGAAAGACATTCATCCCTCACTGGCTTATAAATGAATGCCCTCATTACCTCACCCCATTGATGGAGATTTATTTACTCTGAGTGAACAGATGATAATTAGACACTGTGATGGGGAGGGGCGGAGGCCAAATAACATTGTTCCTGTCCTTTTCTCTAGTAACTAACATTTTATTCTTTTCAGGGGGAGACCTTTAGATCTTTATTCCACTGATAAAGCGTCCAACAACTAAAACCACTGAGTTCTGGGAATAGTCCCAGGGCATTAAGAGGAGATAAAGATACTGGAAACCTCTGTAAGAACCAACACCAGCTACACTGGGCTTGAATTGGTGATAATAGAAAATGCCAGATCTTCCTGGCCTCCCAAGGGACTGATAGAAGACCTTTCCCAGCCCCTTCTAACACTGACTTCAAAATAATAAAAGACACAGGGGTTGGGATTCTGTAAGGTTTATCTAATTTCATTGTAGGAGATATCTTATTACTGTCATGAGAAAAAAACCCATTCTAGGATCCCAGCAATGCAACTTAAAATGTCATTAACTTTAGCGCTCCCTTCACCTCACTCCTGGTACCTACAGGCGTCCCTCTAATAGCAGAGAATATTGTCCGACAGTGGGACAGTTACAAAGAGGTCATCCAAGCCCCCAGAGAATGTTTCAAACTTCTGGTCCCTCTTGCCCCTGCCAAAGTATCAGCAATGTGAATCAGCTCTAGCGAATTATCTCAAAGGAGCATCTCGTGCCTATTTTTCTTCCATGAAAGCATTACTTGTTCTAGGAAAATGAAGAATATGATTCCAATTCTGGAGATGGGTGGTGGTAGGGGTGAGGGACCAGGCGTCAGAAATCAGTAGTATTTTGGCTTTGGAGATCTCTTCCTGTGGAAAGGGGCAACACAGATAAAGAATAGAAACAGGGGATGTGCTGATACCAGACACAGTCTATATGTTGGCCCTGTAGACCCTGGCCTTCATGGAGTTATTTAAAGAGTCCCTCCAAAGCCTGCTGTCAATTAAAATAATTTTATTTATGTCTGAAAGTTCACCATTGGGCATTGTATCTCCAGAAGACACTTTAAAAAATATAGATGTTGTTTGAGGTGCACTTGGATGGTTCAGTTGGTTAAGTATCCAACTCTTGATTTTGGCTCAGGTCATGATTTCAGGGTCTTGGGATCCAGCCCCAGAGTTGAGCCCTATGTCAGGCTCCTCACTGGCTGTGGAGCAAGGTTAAGATTCTCTCTTTCTCTCTGCCTCTCCCTTGGTCCCTCCCCCTCTCTAAAATACATATATATGTGTGTGTGTATATGTATATGAATGTTGTTTGAGAAGATTAAAGAAGAACCCCATTCTTACCAACCAGTGCACATGGGGGTGGGAGGAGCTGGAAGAGTTTGGGTGGAAAGGATGGGAAGTTGGAAAATGGGACCCAACCAAGTAAGGAGTGACAGAGGACAGATACTTCCCCTGAACTTGCTAACTTTTGCCTCCCTCTGAGCTCTGGGGTCTCTGGTGCTTCCCTGCGGGTCTACAAAAGAAGGCAGAGGGGCAAGCAGAGCCGTAGCAGCCCTAGAGAGGAAGAAGGTGTTGGCCCCACAGCAGGAAAAGGAAGCCAGGCACCCTGCTCAGAGGCTGACTCACCCCTACAACCACTCATGTCAGGGTTGCAGCTACCATTTGGTTCACTTGAGGATGGTAGGAGAGGGGCGATGGAGAAAGGCTGCCCGAGGAGAAAGGTGGACCTGCTGTCAGAAGTCTAAACTGATTGACCTCTATCACAAAAAAAATCAGGTGCCCCTTCTTTCTTCCCATTCCTCACCTGATTTCATTTCAGTTCTTTAATATAAGGTGAATCTCAAAAAAAGATTGAACATAGCTGAGAAGACTGTCATGTAATACATGGATTTTTCTTTTTCCCCCAGGAAGAAATACAACAGAAGTTGAATTTTTAGGGCAGCCCCTGTGGCCCAGCGGTTTAGCGCCACCTTCAGCCTGGGGTGTGATCCTGGAGACCAGGGATCGAGTCCCACATCAGGCTCCCAGCACGGAGCCTGCTTCTCCCTCTGCCTGTGTCTTGCCCCCCCCCCCCGTCATGAATAAATAAATAAAATCTTAAAAAAAAAGAAGTTGAATTTTCAGTCCGTCCACCCCATCCCCTAGTTGTTTCCATTCTTCCTCTGTACCTATGAAGGGAGTCAGGAGTCCAGATTGTGACCCAGACTGCTACGATTCAAATCTCAGCTCTGTTACTTCCTAGTTGCGGCCCCGGGCCAGTTATCTAACTTTTCTGTGCCGTGGTTTCTCTTCTCTGTCCAACTGGACTGATGCTACCTACTGCACAACCCTGTTGGGACAAATGATTTACTACCTGGAGGGTGCAGGGCGCAATACTGGGCAAGCATCAGTCATCACAAAGGGCAACATAATTACTCTGCCTTCAGGGTAAGGGTGATTTACCCCAGGAGAAGCAGAGGCTGGGAAGAGCTTAGACCCCAGCCTGGTACTGTGTCCACAATGAATCCGCAGCTTTTTTAAAAGACAAGTCGTTATCTCTGAGATCACTCCTCTTTCCTAAACATAGTGAGGGATTTTAGGTGATAAAGCTTCAGCAGGGTTCCAAGAAACATGAACCGTTGCACCTCGGTTACATTAAATCACCTTCCATTAAATTCTGGTTCTGGTTAGTCAGACAGCTGTTCCCTTTGCTGAAAACAGATATGCTTGACTTTTTCTATTTGACCTAGGAATGAGAAGATTTTCTATGGGCAAACTCTCCAAAGTACATCTGGCTTAATTAGTAAAAATCATTTTACACTTGGGATCCAGGGTCTTGGTTCTGGGATATCTTAGAGCACCCATGACAAGCTTTTAAGCCTCAGCTGAGTATGATCCAAAGTGAGGAGAGGTCAAAGTGCCTAATGCTCTGGTTTATAAAATGGGAAAAATAAGAACATCCCTGCTTTAGAGCTGAGACCAGAGGTGTGGAAGTGCTTCAGGCTCCCGTGGGAGAGATGCTAGAGCGGTTCCAAGTAGTAGTATCATGCATAGCTAATTGTCTTTCCATGGCCAAGGGGAAAATAGAAGTCAGAGTAAACTCTAGATAAGGGTTTAAAAAAAAAAAAAAAAAGCCTGCTGAAGCAACATTGCACCTGGAGGTTCATAATCACAGGCAGTGTTTCCTTCTCTATCCTAAACAATATTCCGAATAATAAGAGCTTTTAAAAATAGATAAATCAATCAAAGCACTTAAAGGGACATCTGCTTCCACTCCCTTCAGTTGTAAATGTCAGATGCTTACCTTCTTGGAAAACTCCAGAAAAAGACTTAGAGCCCGGGAATTTTTTGAACTGTGAAATCTCCCTGGCTATACACAATCTTAGCTCCGCAGCTAAGGGGCACTGCAGCGCGGAGGGTGGAAAGAGCAAGCTTGACGCCCCTTGCTATGCTGGCAACTCTCTCCTTGGCCTCAGTTTCCTCGTTTGCCAAACCGAGGACTGAATTTACTATAGCTGATCGCCCGAGAACAGAGCTGCCAGCGGGGGCTCAGAGGGCGCACGAGGCTCCTCTTCGGAAGGTGTCGCTCCGGCCCGGGGGGGGGGGGGGCGGGGGGGGAAGAATCGCGCGCGGAGGAGGAGGAGGAGGAGGAGGAGGAGGAGGAGGAGGAGGAGGAGGAGGAAGCGAGGCGAGAGTGGCCCAGGGACGCAGCTCCCGGAGCCGCAGGGAGGACGGCGCGGTTCTCCCGGGCTACGGGGAGAGCAGCGAAGCACGGAGGGGGCAGGGTGACCGTGAGGTTTCCACGCGGTTCCCGGGGGGCCGCCGCGGGCTGGGGCTGGAGGGGCAGACGCGGGGCGCACGGAGCCGGGCAGCTGGCGTGCGGCGGGGGCAGCGCCGCGGCGTCCGGGCTCGCGGGGTGCGGGCGGGAGCGACCGTGGATCCGGGGAGGGCAGGGGGGGCCCCCGCGTGTGCAAGGCAGCCCGGGGCGCGCAGGAGTCGGGGGGATGGGGGAGCGCGCAGGGGTGGGGGGGATGCACAGGGATGGGGTGGAGGAGAGCGCGGGGGTGGGGGGTTGCACAGGGATGGGGTGGAGGGGACCGCACAGTGGTCCGGGGGTGGAGGAAAGCGCAGGGGTGGGTGAGGCGCGCAGGGATGGGGTGGAGGGGAGCGCAGGGGTGGGGGCGCGCGCAGGGGTCGGGGGTGGGGGGTGCACAGGGATGGGGGCGCGCAGGGGTCGGGGTGGGGGGCGCGCAGAGGTCGGGAGGTGGAGGGGTGCGCAGGGGTCGGCGGTGGGGGGCGCGCAGGGGTGGGGGGCGCACAGGGATGGGGTGGAGAGGAACACACAGGAGCCTGGGGTGGAGGAGCGCGCAGGGGTCGGGGGGTGGAGGAGAGCGCAGCGTTGGGGGACGCGCAGGGGTGGGGGGGGCGCTCAGGGGTCGGGAGGTGGAGGGGCGCGCCAGGGGTCGGGGCTGGGGGGTGCACAGGGATGGGGGACGCGCAGGGGTGGGGGGCGCGCAGGGGTCGGGGTGGGGGGCGCGCCGGCCTCACCTGGGTCTCCTCCTCGGAAAGGCCGGCCTCGGCCGCGATGAGGCACAGCGTGGTGGGGTCCGGGTGCTTGTTGACCTTGCTGAAGTTGTACTCCAGAATCTCCACCTGGTCCTCGGTGGGGCCGCTCGCGGTCTCCGCCGACATAGTCGCGGCGCGGCTGCGGGGGAGAGGAGCGGCGGGGTGAGCGCGGCGGCGGCGGGCGGGGATGGAGATCGCGGCGCGGCCTCCCGCCCGGCCCCGGCGCCCAAGGCTCCCTCCGCGGAGCCGCGCGTCCTCGGGGCCCGACCAGCCCGCGGGGTCTCCCGGCCGCGGTCCCCGGGGCGGCGGCGCGCCCTCCTGGCCCGAGGCACCTGGAAAGTCGCCTCCGGAGTTTCGCCCCGGGAGAGGGAGCTGCCCCGGGCGGTGGCGACGGGTCGCGGGGCTGGGGACCCACCTCGCGGGTGCGCGTCCGTCGGCTCGGACGCCCCACCCCGCCCCTCCCTCGAAGAAACGACCCAAAGGACGGAAGTTACTTCAAGTTGGGGAACTGGAGCCGCACTTTTACTCTCTCCCGGCTACAGAGGAGGACAGAGGTCCACAGAGATGTCGTTCACTCCTGGAGGCGCTAAGACCGGGAGCTGAGCATCAGGAGAAATGTCCACCTGAGGCTTGTGTGACTCACTCTGCAATCTGCAGCCTCCCTGGCCCTCCGCCCCACCCCTCCACCCCCATTTTTCTGAAGCCAGAAATCCACAGCCTCCAGGCAGCGCGGCTCCCCACTGCCGGGCGCTGCTGGCCCTTGGGGCCTAGCCACTTGGTCACCAGCTCCAGGTCTCTTGCATTTCCTTGCTTCAGAGCCAAACATCGCTCTGGCAGATTTTGGGTAGCATGACTTCCTGCTGCATCCTCTCCATATCTAAATGGCCTCTGAACTGGGTCAAAAAAAAGGGGGGGGGGAGCAGATGTTCATCAGATGTTCACCTCCCCCCCACCCCTCCCTCTCCATCCTACAATTTAAGATGTACCGGGGCATAGGAAGCTACAGTCTTGAAGATCTTGGCTGAGGATTTGGTACAGACAGGTCAGGACTTGACTCTGCTGACAGTAAAAGACAAGTTCCAAGTGTGGGAATCAGGCTGGTTTGTTGTTTAAACAAACAACTGCAAAATCATCCAGCACAATCCTGAGTAGGTTTTGAAGTGGTTTGTGCCTGGGGAGGAGCCACACTCCACCGATGTGCCTGCATAATGTACCTGATGCTGGTACGACCTTTTCTACTGGGACCTGCCTCCTGTGCTCCCTGGTAAATATCTTTACCTCCCCTCTGGGTCACTTGGAGACGTTTCCAGGTGGGACAAGAAAGCATTTCACTGTGCGAGAGTCTTGGGCTCAAGGCCCTTGTCAGGCCACCATGAAGTCCCCTGTTTGTAGATGAGTTATATGCCCCCTCCCCAATTTCAAAATCTGTACCAGTCACTCCTATTACAGTGCTCACAGGCTCAAGCCAGGTCAGAAACGCCACCTCTCCTGTGGGCACCCATCTCCCCTTTTCTTTGACCCAGAAATTCAGAGCTGGAAAGAATCTCGGAGATTTTTTTTCAATCCTCTCCTGGAACAGCCCAGGAGAAGCAGGCACAGGAGGACTTCCTCTACCAGCATTGCCCAGTTAATGACCGACACCCTTAGCTTTAGTTTCAGTCCTGTGTTCTGCGAGACCCTTCCCAGCAGGCCATTCTGACTTTAGTTGGGCAGAAAAAATCAGGAGGGCAGCAGTTTAAAGGCAGGAGCTTCTGAATGGGCATTGACTGTCCTCATAGGATCCCAATTCCAGCCAAAGCTGCCTCCTGGAACCACCCCCCACTGCTCATTTTGCCTAAAAGAATATAGGAGAGGGGACATTATTGCCTCTGATTCTATTTCTTGGAAAGGTTCCATCTAATTCCTTTGACACGGTTATGTTGCCTCTTTTCAATGAAACATTTTGGGTCTTTGTAGAACTCTTAGTCCCTCAAAAATATTAACCAAGTGTATAGATTTCTAAACTGGACTCAGATTCAAGGTCTGTTCGGCATGTACTTCTTTCTCTCTTTTTGTTACATACTTACTATTATATAACTCAAAGCCTGTTACTGCCCTAACATTTAATCAGGTGCATTTTCTCTTCTATTTTTGTGGCTTCCTGTTACAGGACTCTGTATGAGGTTTCATGGGTAGCTTCCGGTTGACTTGAAAGTGCTCCTTGGGTTAGTTGGCTGAGGGCCACTGGACTTGTTTGGCTGCTAAGGAGACTTGTGGGAGGGCCTTTTGAAAATACCTGCTTCTCCAACGTACACCAAACAAACAAGCTTGATTTCTAGAAATGAAGATAAAAGGTCTGACCTCGATAGTGAGACTTGTCTGGTGTTCTCCACAAAACTGTCGCTGTTATTTCAGCCCCTTTGGCTGACAAGTGTTTGCAGCTGTTGCTTGGTTTCTTCTCTCCTTCTCCCTCTTTTAAAGGAAATTTAAAAACCAAATCACCCCCATAACCTTGGCCTTATAAAACTTCTCAACTCTTTCCAGTAAGGAAGCTGTTGAAAAGCCTCTCTCGAGGTAGTAGTCTAAACACTTTCAGATGAAAAGAACTAAAAATATCTTAAAGCTTCTTAAACTTTAATCTCAGCACAAGTTCTATTGTTGCTGAGGTTATATTCATATGAGACATTCAAAGAGCAATTTGTCCTGTGGTTTGTTTTTGTGGTGGGGGAAGACAACGCATAAAGCTTTTTCAAGAGGTTAAATGAAAACAGCTGGTTTTTCTTCTAAATGAATCCCTACACCTGGTTAGACAGTTTTACCCTTGCCCCCAAACCTATGGTTATTTATTTTAAAGATATTTACCTGGATGAACGAGCTCATAGAGAGTGCTACAAACTAACCTGCAGAGACTGCTGTGAGCTCTCATTTACTATCTCTCTCCTCCCTCCCCCAACCATCAGACCTCTTTGTAAAGCCACTAATATCAGACCAAATGGTTATCAGTGGTAGATCCTCTGCATAAACATGGTGAGCTGGCCAAAAGAGAAAAAAAGCAGTTGAATCATTTTTTAGGGCCATCTCTCAATTTCCTTTAGCCCAGGTCTTCTGGGAAGCAATGGGCTCCAGAAACACTGTATTTTCTTAAGTGAGAAAAGTAATGTGCTGTCCTATCCCCAAGAGAAGTGGAGGTTCTTCATTCACCACTTACTGAACTACTCTGGACAGGGCACAAAGGGCACCATCCACGCTGTCTGTGTCTGTCAGAATTGACAAATAGGGGGTGCCTGGGTGCCTCAGTTGGTTTAGTATCTGACTGATTCTTGATTTTCCCCACAGGTTGTGATCTCAGGGTCCTGGGATCTGGCTCTACATTCGGTGTGGAGTCTGCTTGGGATTCCTCTCTCTCCCTTTTCTTCCTCTGTCCTTACCTCCATCAAATAAATAAATAAATAAATCTTAAAAAAAAAAAAAAGAAATTGACAAACAGGAGTGGAACATTGATCTGCCTCTCCAGGCTAACATGAGGTCTGCTTTCTTTCTTTTCTTTTTTTTAAAGACTTTATTTATTTATTTATTTATTTATTTATTTATTTATTTATGAGAGACACAGAGAGAGACACAGAGACACAGGCAGAGGGAGAAAGCAGGCTACCTGTGGGGAGCCTGATGCAGGACTGGATCCGAGGACCCTGGGATCATGCCTTGAGCCAAAGGCAGACTTTCAACCACTGAGCCACCCAGATGCCCCATGAGGTCTGCTTTCAAAGAAAAATCAGTTTGTGTATGTGTTTGTTTTTCTTTTTGATTGATTAATGCTTAGAGCAGTAGCTCTTGTGCCTGACTGGTCCTTAGAATCACCAGTAGAAATGTCCAGGCCTCCCATAGTCCTCCTCTATCAGAACCACTTTAGAAATCCAGTGTGGAAGGGTTATAAAATGTATCTCAGCTCTTACAAGATTTTGTAATTATTAAAGTCAATGATAAATGTTTAGAACATCTTATACTTTATACCTATAAAAATTCATTAAAGTATCTTCTACCTTTGATGCTGTGTATCATCTCACCAATTGAGTAGATGATAGGCTGAGGTAGTTTTAAAGGAATAAAGTCTTTTTGAAAATATTGTATTTATTTACTTTAGAGAGAGAGAGTGAGGACAGGAGCAGAGGGAGAGAGAGAGAATCCCAAGCAGACTGAGCTGAGCATGGAGCCTGACGTGGGGCTCAATCCCACAACCCTGAGATCATTACCTGAGTGGAAACCAAGAGTTGGATGCTTACCCAACTGAGCCACCCAGACACCCCTAAGGAATAAAGTTTTTAAAGTACACAGATACATGTCAGAAAAAACATTTAGGCACCATGTTATTAATCTTTTGTATGTATGGTCAGGAATGGAGAAATTGCCTTTAAAATTATGAATTATCAGGGTACCTGGGGGCTCAATTGGTTAAGCATCTGACTTTGACTCAGGTGGTGATCTTGGGGTCCTGGGATGGAGTCAGACTCCACCCTCAATGGGGAGTCTGCTGTCCCTCTGCTCATCCCCTCCAGTCATGTTCTGTCTCACTGACATAAATAAATAAATAAAATATTTTTAAAAATTATGAATTTTCAAGAGAAATTTCCCTGTTTTCAAAAATTTAGAAATAATATAAAACCCCTTAAAAATCTTGAAAAATGTATTTTATATTGACATCAGAGTAAGAAAGCAGATCATCAAAAGAAAAATCCCTTCCACCTCTTCATACAGTTATCTGTAATTGATTTAGATGGCAAAAATTATAGTGGAAAAGATTTGGCAAACTGGACAAATGACTGTCCTTCTCTAATTTCTTAAAGTTTTCAGTGAGAGAACTGCTAAAATTTAAGTTATCATTTACACGGACAACTTGTATAATAGAACCTAAAACTGAACATTAGATTATGAATACTCCGTATACACATAACATCATTACTATCTTCAGGGAAACAGGATTCCAAACAGAAATAGGAAAATATATTTTTTAAATGCTATTATCAGGGCAGCCTGGGTGGCTCAGTGGTTTAGCGCCGCCTTCGGCCCAGGTTGTGATCCTGCAGGCCCGGGATCGAGTCCCACATCAGGCTCCCTGCGTGGAGCCTGCTTCTCCCTCTGCCTGTGTCTCTGCCTCTCTCTCTCTGTGTGTATGTCTCTCATGAATAAATAAACAAAATCTTTTTTAAAAAATGCTATTATCAATTCTAGTTTTACATATTTAAAAAACTAGAGAAAAATTCAACAAAAGTTAACAGTGATTATATCTAAATTGTGAGACTACAGATGATGTAAATTTTTTTCTTATATTTTCTTGTTTCCTCCCTATTCTATCATGAGCATTTATTATTTTGAAATTAAGAAGTTTATTTACTTTTTCTTAAAAAGATATCCCTGGGGGCACCTCGGTGGCTCAGTGGTGCCCCTATTCCTTTGATTATTAAAGTAGTTCCATCACATATGTATGGATCCCTAAAAGAACATATTATTTTAGCTTTGTATATTTTGGAATTATATAAAAGTAGTATTATATATAATTATTCTATGAATTGCTTTTTTCATCAATAATTTCCAAGATTCACCCATTAATTTCTACATGTAGAGAAGTTCATCCATATTCAGTGCTGTTTCCAT